AGTTTCAGCTGCAACTGGACAATAAAATAATTTAAATCTGCTTTGAGGAAGTTTTATTATACTGAACACTAACTGTGTGGCTGGAGGATGTACTGCTTCTCTACCTTGCAGTGTGATATCAAAATTTGTCCAGTAGACCCTTTGCACGAGAAAATGCTAACTTTTAAGACCGGATGTAGGGTTGTACATTTCCGGTAGCTTTATTTTGCAGTCAATTGCTACTGCGAAGGTGGACTCCTAAATCATGTCCAAAATCCAAAAACGGAACGATTACATTAAGTTTACAAAGAGCAGAGAGTGGGAACACTCACCATTGCTGTGTCATAAAAAAATCAAATGATCAGTTTTGATGTTTGAAGCGTGTAGATCGATTGTTTGCACTCAGCACAAGCAGAACTGCATCACTGCAGCAGAAGACACATCGTCCACATTCAGAAGCACATCTCTGTATAGTGCTTATGATTTAAACAGGCAAATGTCCAGCATTCAAACTACAGGTGAACAATAGTCAAAGCCAAATGTTTCCTCGTTATGTCGATATCAGTACACACCTACACGGCATGTCAACAAACCGTGAAAAAAAGCCACAGGATATTAAAAAATACATGAATGATTGCAGGTAAGGGTCTCTATATATTAGTATTCACAAAGGTTATGTTGTGACTTATCTTCACAATTACAGCGATCCCTCGCTATAACACAGTTCACCTTTTGCAGCCTCGCTGTTTCACGGATTCTTTTAGTGCAATTTTGCATGCTTTTTTTTTTTAAGCGCAGTGTGTTCTGCGTCCTGATCCGCAGACCACTGTCGATCTCCGTGCCGTGCTCTCCTGTACAGTACAGAATCGCTATATCGATCACTCGCAGTGTGACTCTGAAGTGCTGCACTGTATGTTTGTAAGTTTTCTCCCCAACAAACACAACAATGTCAATGAAATGTTTTGCACCGTCAAAGGCACCTACAGTAGCATCCGAAGGGCAGAAGAAGATGCTAACCATCGCACAAAAAGTTGGACTTCTGGACGGAAGCTAGAAGTTACCGTATTTTTGTTTTTTTTTTACCATACCGCTAACCGGATTATAAAGTGCATTAAACTTAAATTAAGCAATTAAGCTTAAAGTTAAATTCATTAGTTCTAAAATCTGTCATTATTATTTATAGCAAAACAAATACACTGTATGTTTATTTCTCAAATAAATGTTTGGGACTGAAGGCAGGTTTTGATCTTTGGTTTCATTCTATAATGGATTTATTTTTTATTTTTTTACAAAGGTTTGAACTTTGAGAGTTTAAACAAGAGAGAAAAGTGTGAAACTGTTTATTCCTGTCTGAGAAAAGTGTATAAAGTGTGTAGTGATGGGGTTTACTTCGCAGATTTCACCTATCGCTGATTATTTTTAGAACATAACACCCACGATAAACGAGGGATCACTGTATACAAATACTGACTTTTGCTCGGAGGCGCGAGGGAAAATATTGACAAGTCGATGAACATCATCTACACATATACTCAGTAAATGCCCAAGACATCTTGAGAAATGTAAATCGCCGCTTGATTCATCGATTTGGTTGACTTTTTGGGAAAACCCGACCGTAATCAAGACAACAATATCACACCGGAAACTACGCGCCCTGCAGGAGTTTCCCCACCGGAAGTAGCACATACTAAGGTGCACATAGTCTAATAAGGTTCTTCTGCACTGACGTCATCTTTGAGTTCATATATTACTGTTGTCAGACCCCCTCTATTCCCTCAGTCTCCCCTGAAAAATCACACACTCAGCCTTCGTGGGATTGTATACTTTTTCTTGTAGCCTGAAATAAGCTGTTTTGGGGCCTTCCCTTTTAAGGCCACTTCCAACCTCTTTGCTCTGATTGGCTGCCCCTCGTAAACAGAATGTTGGAACAGGAGGTGGGTGGGGCTTCTGTGCTCACATGCAGAGCTGCGGTGACCAAATATAACATTAGAAGATGAATTAATGAAATAAGTTTAAAAAATATATATATAACACCTGTTTGAAGGAAACAGAATGACTGAATTCAAACAGCATGTTGTGACAAAACAATAACCTGAAACTCACAATGATATTCCACAGGGTTGCAGGAAACTGAAGCTGAATCAACTGATAATTCTCTGTAACTAATAATAAGAACAGCTAGCATTTTATATTTTCTTTTTGTGATTGTCACAACATGTTTTCCTTCTGTGACACAGGAGTCAGAGGACTGGGCATCGAGTCTCCACAGGTCTTCCTGGTGTCCAGCTTTGATCTCAGCATGTATGACTTCTCTCTCTTACAAGAGACCTTAGAGAGAGAGCTCCCTGAACTCAAGAGAGATGCTCTGCTGTTTGCTACACCCA